CGGGGATTGAACTCAGGACCTTGTATTTGCCGGGCAAGCGCTCATTCTACTGAGCTATCTCCCCAGCCGAAGAGTACATTTTTAATTGGAAGGTTATTTTTGTGAATTCAATGTTTCAAAATTTTAAGATGATCAGTTTTAGAACTTGCTTGATAAATATAATGCAATCCAAGTCTCATTTTGGCAATGTCTGTTTTGTGATGTCAATTATAAAATTTAGAGAGAAATGTGCAGGATTGATGGAGACTACTATGAAGTGATTCTAAATAGGGTTTAACATTAATCAGTTGGCTCTCTCTATTTACTTCTGAGTCAGTCCCAGGCCTAGGCAACTTGCTCAAAGAACAGTGGCTGGCATGCAGCAAGTGCCATTCTCCATGCCAGTGTTTGCAGGAGAGGCCTGTACTGGTCTGTGATACCGACATCTCGGTGGCTAAGCTAAAACTGCAGCAGAGAATACCTGGCTCTCCAATTCTTAAGCCTCCAGCTGAAGTTATTTGGTTCCTGGTGTAAATGTCAACCTTAGAGATAGGGCAGTTTCCTTAACTGGCAAAATTTCCTGCTTGGAGAAGTCTTTGATCTAAACTTCCCAAGGTCCTGCTCAGTGTCCTATCTTTACCTCAGCCATCCCTCTCCTTTGTTTGAAGACCCAATACACATGTGTGCTCCAGAGAAGCCTTTTCTTTAGTTTCTGAAGAGTTCTGACCTTCCTGGACTTCCCCAAATCCTATTATCTCTTACTTAAGGCGTCATCATAACTCATTTTAGGAGATTGAGTGCTGAGGCAAGACCCTGATAAAGGACCAAACTTAGCCTTTCTCATTTTGAAAATAAAATTCAAGGATATATACAAACTTATACATACAAATATAAAACTACAAGAATTAAAACTGTAGTATTGGTATAAATGTGGAATATTGGAATTCCACACTCATAAACATGCTTTAAATAGATCATAGTTATAAATTTAAGAAAGCACAAGACTTCCAGTTCTAACATTTGAGAAAAATCCTTGTGATTTTGATTTAGTAAATATTTCCAAGATGAGATATATAAAGTTAAAAATGATCAACAACAACTATATTAGAAACTAGCCTTTCCTTAAAAATTATTTGCAAGGCAGTATTAAAATAAAACGTTACAAAGTTAAAGAAAAAAAATGTTGTCGAACATACATATGACAGATTTTCTGTTCAGATTACAGGAAGAATATTTATAACTTAAAAATAAAATCTTAATTTTCAATTTTAAAACTTCAAGTTTGTTGAGACATTTTACAAAGGAGGTTGCACTATGTCCTTCAGATCACCTTCATAATCACTAGGGATCATGAACAGACTGTTCCTCAAGAAGGCCCATAGTTAGATACTTATTTTTCTTTTTGGTCCTGGGGATCAAACTCAGGACCTCACACTTTCCAGGAAGGTGCTTATGCCACTGAGCTATATCTCTGGCCCTTTTAGATAGATATAGTAACTGATTCTTGGAAAAATATAAATTAGTAGAATTAAGGAGTGATATTTAATCTTACTAGCAACCCTAGGCAACATAATAAAAATAATGAACAGCATGGACAAATATTGATGCATGGGGGATTTTTATGCAAATTAACTCAATTTGAAATCTTAACATAGGAAATAAGCATAAATTTACACATCTTCAAAATAATTTCATTTCTGGATATTTAAAATTAGCAAAATACTTTACAAAAGTAGGAAAATACTTTCAGAATACCACAGTACTTGATAACAATGAAATAATGCAACCTAATTCTATAAACACCTTTGTTCTTTTAGTTCTATTTACACTGAAAACTAAAACTGTGAAAATTATATTTGATTTAGATATAGGACATTTAGGGTTATACAAGGGGACATATAAAGTGGAAAGGCCAACAAATACCTACTTTAAAAAACATACTTATTTAATGGAATAATGAACTCATGTGATGATTCATAATTTGTTTTCCATGATCAGTGTTTCTAAAAGGATTAGTGATTTTTAGAGGAATACTGCAATATGACAAAGCACATGGATAGGAATAAACTGGTAAGGCAATGTCCTTTATCATGTCCTTATTCTTTTCCAAACCACTCAGTTGGTACAATATAGAAAATGCACTGTGAAAGAAACTTGATGGCTACTGAATGGTAAAGCCAAATGAACTCAATGCTTACTTTGAACTCTGAAAAGCACTATATACTTCTTATTGTCATGAGTCACAAAAGGGAAGACTTGTATATGTATTACTATACGTCTATGGAAAATTAGACTGAAGCAATGACAGCAACTCTAACATGATTATAAATGGAAGATACATACAAATAAGTTTTAAAAATAATCCCTTTTGCTTACAGAATTTCATCATGCTGTTTTGGTTCATTACTATCAGAAAACAAAGAGTAACAGGCTGGAGGGTGAGATTGTGATTAGAAAAGATTCAATAGGTTTTCATGGGCATTGCTTCTATCATGACATCCTTTCTCTTGAGGGCTTTGCAATTTAGTTCAGATGGTCCGTGTCCAAATTGCATGGACACTGAACATTGTTAGAGGAATGACAGACTAAGTGGGGAATTGAACACTATGCAGTGCAGTCAGAGCCTATCCATTCGGAACTAGCAAGCCAAAGCAAGAATTGTCTTATGATCTGCAATTTAAATGCTAAACATGAAGTTCCTTCTCAAAACAAAGTAAGTATCTTGATCAGAGAATTCCAGCAAAATACAGAGGTAACTAATACCATAGTAACCTTGACTCTGAATCACAGTTCACAGGACAGCCATAATAGCTTCTTGAGCTAAAAGTTATGCATCTGGAATGGCATTGTTTCACTGAATCATAAAATCAGAATTTTAAGTTTATTGATCAAGTTCACACTGAGAAAAGAATGACAGGAAATTGAAAGTGAAGGATTACACAATACTAAATATTAATGCATTTGGAAGAGAGGCTTACTGGGGGAAAAAGTGTTTTCTTTGTTTTATCCATTTAATCCTTTGCTAAGTAAAGGCATGGTAGGTCGCATCCAAATCATTTCTATGGCTATTCATATGCTGAACAGTACTCCACTCAAGGAATGCACACTTTCATAGTTAACCAGCCTATGGTTGATTTTACTTTCAGCTCATGTGAATAACGCTGCTAATGACATTTGGTACAAAGCTTTGAGTGTTTTCATTAATTCTCGATATATATCCAGGTATGAAATGGTGGCTAAAACGGTAACTTTAAGTGTAACACTGCTCTCTGAAGTAGAGGTACCATTTTAAAGATCCCACCAGAAACAAGAGTATTCCTTTTCCACGTCCTTATAATCACCCATGATTTTTCTCATTACACTGCTTCATATCTTTTTCAACATACAAGGTACAGTTACAACAGCTGTTTAATGTCCCTGTCTGTAGTTTCTCATACTTATTTCAGTTTTCCTCAGCAACACGCTTTTCTCCTGACTTTTTTCATTTAAGCAATCTCAGTATCCGCTTAAAGACTGCCAGTGCAAATTGTGTCTTACTAGTCTGTGATTTTTTTCTTTACTATGAATTTGCTTTGTCACCTATTTAAGTGACTCTCTAAGTTTGATCCTTTTGAATCCTGTTTTTAAGACTTTAGATGATGCTAAATATTGTCAATACCACAGCAAGAATCAAGAGATTTCATTTGGTAGATTTTCTCAAAACATGTGGCTAAAAAACATAGTTGAACATTCAAAAACAAAAATAGAAACCAAAGGCCTACAGAACTCCGACTTTGCTCCTTATCAGCGGCCTCTTTTCTCCTAAACTCTGCAAACAGCACGGCCCCTCAGGATTTCACCTGTCAGTCACCGGAAGTATTCCGTTGGGCTCCACTTGGTTTGGCTCTCCCTAGGTCGCATCTTTCAAATACCTTCAAAAACTAGTGTCTCTTTTATAGTCTCAAGATCAATATTCTTTCCATTTTGAATGGCGCAGCTTTCTTTTTACTCCTCAGAAATCCCCTTCTCTTCTAGTCAGGTAAGAAGATCGGATGAGCCGCGCCGGCCGGGCACAGCTCGCGTCTCGCTTCCGGTTTACGGCAGCCGCGGAGGCGTAGCGCAGTTTAGCGCGCGCCCGTCACACCCTCCCCAAACTGCGCCTGCGTCCATTGCGGCGAGCGGCGTCCGCAACTACCAATGAGAATGCAGCCTGTTGCTTAAATCCCGCCCTCCCAACCAGCAACCAATCGCTGCCCTGGCGCGAAGGGTGGTTGAATCCAAACCGGAAAGTACCCGAGCGCCGCGCAGAGATGGAGGCGGCGGAGACAGAGGCTGAGGCAGTCACCCGAGAGTGAGTGCTTGATACCGGGTGGTAGCTGGGAGCCGGCCGCGGGCGGGTTCGCTGTTCCCCGTCGCGGGATGCTTGGTGCTCTCGACCCCGCCGTGCACCCTTGGGTGTCCTAGAGGGGCCTTGGGACCCTTCCCGCAGTCCACATCGTCGGTTTCCTTTAAAACTTTTCTCTCTTGTCCCTACGAAATCTTTCACCAGTGGAACACTGTTCCCGTCCTTGTGCCGCAGCAGATTGCCGTGGTCTCTAACTAGGAAACACCTGGAGACCTGAGTCCCAAGCGTTCTGCCCTCCGCCCTGTTCTTCCTTCCGTAGATCTTAGGCCTCCTCTGAAGGCCCGCGAGGTTCATAGGCGTTTTGCCCGTAGTTTTACCTTGCGAAGAAGGCAATCAAGATCTGATCTTGATTCATCCAACTTATTCCGTGAGACGTTTCCAGTTCACATCAGAGCGCCCTTGTTGGTCCTCTTCAGCTGATTTCCCTCATGGGGTGGGGCTGAGTGACCCTGTGTTCTCCATGCACAAACCAGGCTGTGGGTTTCCAGGCCTTTATGCAAGTTGGGTCAGGGTGGTCACCCTCAGTATCGATGCACCCTTTGTCTTAAGCGCATGGACCCCTGGGAGTCATCAGTCTCTTGTTTCCTGCCCCTCCAGGGTCCTGGCTGAGGTGGCAAATGTCATAGAACCCATAGGCCTGCAGGAAGAAACAGAGCTGCCAGCCCAGGTCCTGGCTGAATTTGTGAGGGTATGTACTAAATGGGAGCAGCTTTTCAGAAGGGAAGGGGGAGGTCTTGAGACCTCCTTTAGAGATGGAGGACAGCAGTGATGAAGAACAAAGTGGAAGGCAGCCTTAATGGCCGGTAGTGCAAGGCAGTAAAGATATCTCTACCTTTTCTCTCCTGAATAGAACTCTAGGAAGAAAGACAAGCTACTCTGTAGCCAGCTTCAAGTAGTAGATTTTTTACAGAATTTCCTGGCTCAGGAGGACACTGCCCAAGGCCTGGATCCCTTGGCTCCTGAAGACACAAGCCGTGAGTGGGCCAAGACTTGGGAGTGGGGCCGTCATAAGTGGGCATGGAGAGAGGGTGTGAGTTCAGTCTACTTTTGGCTATTTAGTGGGAAGACTGAGGCCTAAAGTTTCAGGGTGACAACTGCAGGGCCACCACCTTCATGGTTTCATTTCCCATGGCTCATTTTAGGACAGAAAGCCATTGAGGCCAAGGAGGAATGGAAGGACCTTAAGGCCACTTACCAGGAGCATGTGGAGGCCATAAGAAGTACTCTGACTGAGGCCTTGCCTCGAGTGGAAGAGGCCCGGTGGAAACGTGTGGAACTCCAGAGGGCCATTGATCAGCTCCAGACCAAGGTGCTCCTGGGAAGCTTGAGGGAGGGAAAGACAGGAAGAGAGGGTAAATTGAAAAGATAAGATAGGGAGGTTGGGTTGGACCCATTTGTTACCCAAACTTTAACCTGAAAAATATACTTAATTTTCTCCTGAACTCTCCCTTATTAACCACAGAAACAACTGGCTATGGAGAAATTCAAAATAGCCCAGAAGCAGTGGCAGCTACAACAGGTAGGCTTTTTCTCTAGACTTCTGTTCCTACTTGAATTGGCCAGTTCCCCCTTCTATCAGTGATGAACGAGTTGGGGAAGGCTGGCTGTAAGATGTCAACATTTGATGAAGTTTATCTGCACTCTCACTCCATAGGAAAGGCATCTGCAGGATCTGGCAAAAGTTTCTGCAGAGGTGAAGGAGCGACAGGCTGGTACTCGGCAGAAGCTTGAGCAGCTGGATCAAGAACTTGGAGCTCTGAAACAGCAGGCAGGCCAGGAGCAGGATAAATTGCAGAGGTGATGTTAGGGGTATACACAGGACACTCTGCTGTCTACCTGAGATTCTCTCCCTTCATATTTCCCTTCTCTTTCCAGGCATCAGACTTTCCTTCAGCTGCTGTATACTCTTCAGGGGAAGCTGTCACTCCTGGAGGCCGAAGACAATGGTACCCCAGGAGCTACCTCTCTACCTGGCTCTTCCTAAGGTTGAGTCCCAACAGCTGCCTCAGAACACTGGAGAGAGACCGAATGGGAGATAGAGGCTGGGAACTTGACCTCACTCGTTGGCCACACTGTACCTGTCCAAGGCCAAAGACCCTCAGCCCATGATAGCTGTGAACTCACCATGATGTCCTGGAGGAAAATAGCATGGGCAAGAAGGATCCTAGAACAGGTCAGATCCTAAATTACAGATGTCGGAGGTAGGGAAACCTGTGGTCTACTTGTGTCTACATCTGAGCTCCTCTGCCCAAGTGGGAAGGAGAAAATTCCTCCTTAAAATATGGAAGAATTTTAGCGCTTCATGTCCCTGCCAGATGCACCAAGGCCACTCTTTTTCCTTGATATCAGAAGGACAGATTAGGAAATCTCTAGTACAGCCTGACTTCTAACCTTGACCTGGGTGCAGAGGGGTGGGAGGTCTCAAGTAAAAATTGTAGTTCTCTGTTATCTGTTTGCCTTCTTGTGTTGGTGGGAAGAAATGAAGACAGGCAGAGTAACATTTCAGGAGCTGGAACTGGTGTGATCAGAGACCATGAAGATGCCCAAGGGTCTCAGGAATTGCTTTGCCGAATCTACAAGCAGCAAACATGCTGAGCTTAGTGCTTTATGCAAGTGTTAACATGTAAAAGGTAGATGTATTTGCTGATCAGAATGTTTGTTAAATCCCTGCTTTGTGCTAAGGGCCTTTGCTCTGAACTTCAAGAACTCCACTAGTGAGCTTATCTGTTTCAGGTTGGCCTAGCAGTGCACACCTGATCTCTTTTGTATTAATCTGTCTAGTACTTATTTGAGCACTGTTTTCAGGTGTTGATTCATTTTAGATTTAACTATGGCTGTTGTGTGCTTCACTGTTGTATGTTGTTTCATTGATTTCTAATAATACCTTGGGCATTTCTTCCCTTCTAAGTATGAATGGAAAAGTGTTATTTTTCTTAATTCTTATTTTTAGAAAATAATACCTTAGTTTTGGATCCTTGTTTTCTCAAACACTTATGGTTATAAATTTCTTGATTTCCTTTAAGCACTTTCATAATCATTCAAATCATGTGAATTTTATTATATGTTATATTTCTTTGCTTCATGAATTTCTTTTAAAAACCAATTTTAAAGTTTTCTGCTTTATGTGGGAAGATAATCTTTCTTAGTTTAATTTGGTTAGAGAATATTCTCTGTATAAAATTTATGAGTTTAACAAGAGAAGCAATTTTAGCCTTGATACGGTGTTTAACTTTTTGCTTTGGTCTGGAGAGAATGTATATTTTATGGTAGTGTGTAATATTGTTAATATATCTTACGGATGGTGGGGTTTTTGTGTCTTCTATTATTTTTTATGATCTGAATGGTACATTCTGAGAGGACTGTGTGCAACTCCTAGCTGTTATAGTGGGTTTGTTTTATTCTCTATTTTTCTGAGTTTTCACACATTTAATAGCTGCTTTAAGTAGGTAGTCCTTTACATTCCTATCTTTTGAATACAATTTTTACTGTTGTGGGGTTGCCTTCTTCATGTATAGGCTGTCTTCAGACCTGAAATCTGAATATTAATATAATTTTTCCGGCTATCTTGTTTGCCTTTGTCTAGAGCATATTTCCCTTGAGTGTCACCCTCTTTGAACTTTCTTTAATCTTATATTTATCATTTCTATGTGGCATTTGTAAAACTCAGGTTCCCCAGTGTTTTTCTTTGAGTTTTATTTTGTCTATTTTTTTATTGCTTTGTATTGATCACTTTTGTTTCTTCTTTTTTTTTGTTTACTTTTTTAATTCTTTGTTTAGAAACTTTTCTCTGTTAGGTTAATTTCAATTCCAGACCTTAACCATCTAAAGTGAAGTGTAACCAATACCGATTATCTTCTTAGACAACAAATGAAACATTAAAAAAATAATAATTATCTTATTGCTAGTTAATGAAATATATTTGTCAGGTTTATTATTATTATAATTATTAATGTATTTGGTTGTTGCAGGGTCTTGCTACGCAGCTCAGACTCAGTGATTCTCCTGTTTTCAACCCTGCCAGTGCTGGGATTACAGGCATGCACCATCAGCCCATACTCTGCCTGGTTCAGCCAGCCCCAGGGGTGGTGCCGGTGCAGCTTGTGGAGCTGTGGGTCAGACTGCAGTTCTGTGCTTGCCCAAGTTTGCCTCAGCAGGCGCTTTAGTCCACTGAGCTATTTCGCCAGCCCCTGTCAGGTTTATTGTTTCTAGCTTGTCCATGTTCTAAAGTTTGAGATACAGTTTTACTTAGTCAAAGCTTTAAATTTATTCATTTACCATTTTGCCTACCTTTTTACATTAAGACTTTCATATGGAATGATTTCATCATATCAAATAAATGGCTCAGAATTTCCTTTAGTTAGCATTTATAAGCTATATAATGCTTTAGTTTTTTTGTACAAAAATATTATAGTTTCACCTTCATAAAAACTAGAAAATGATTTTCAACAAATACTTTCTCCTAACACAGTGAAGGTACTTCTCATAACTCTCTTTCATTGTTGCTGATAAGAAAATAGCAATCAGTTTGAAGTTTTCTCTATGATAGTTGCTTTCTCGCTGGCTACGTACAAAATCCTCAGTGTGTGGTAATCTGTAATTTTACTGTGAAGAATAATGAGCAGTTTGAGGTTTGCTTTTACTTCCAACCAGTTGGGCTTTCTAATCCTCTATTACCAGTCTTTTAACAATTCTACAACATTTTAAGCCTTATCTCTGTCAAAAATGGTCTGACTTTTTATCAGCGTCTTCTAAGAAACCATTTAAGCTTAAGTTTTGTTTTTTCTTTATGTCATACAAATGTTTCCATAGTCATGATTTTTCTCTGTAGATTACATTCTGATTTTCTTAAATCTATTTTGTGATTTACATGTAACTAATGTATTATTTGTGTCTTAGTTTTGAGTATTTTTAATATCAAAAAGATATTAATTAGATTAGATCCTTGTCTACTATTTTTGGATTATTTTCTTTTTTTTTTTTATTGTGGCTAAAAACTTACAATTGATCTTTTTTTTTTTTAACCTTAAACATAGTACATGCAGGTATTTTGTTATTTTGGAGGGAAAGTTTGATTATTGATGACATTGTGAGCCTACATTACACACTGCCTATTTTTTTGTATGTTTTATGCTGTGCTATGAACTGCCCTTCCTGAACTTCATCTTTGGGGATACTTTGTGGCCTGGTATAAAATTGAGAACATTAATGCTAACTTCTTCCAGTAACTTTTGGTTACTATCAAAATAACACCTAGCATTGTTTAAAATATTTTTTAATATTCTTTGTGTCATTATACTGTGCTGTTTATCATTCGCACTGATTGCTTTTGCTCCTCCTCATTAATATTTCCCAAAAGCTTTTCTATTTTGGTTGTCTCTCAGAAGCACATTCTTTGGCTTTTATGGCAATTAGATTATAGTTGTTTTCATATTTATTATTGCATTTTTATTACTTTACTGTTGCCATTTTTATTGTCTTTACAACCTTGTTTCATTTGTTTTTTATATTTGATTAAGAACTATTTTAACTGCATGTATTTTCTAATAAAACACATTTAAGCACGCACATTTGTGTTCTGATATCCACTCAGAGAATATCTCATACTTTAATACTTAGTGTGTTATTTCTCAGTAGATTTGTAAGTTTTAATATTAATTTTTGTTCTAAATTAAGGAAGATTTCTTTATTGTTTTTGTCTAATTTAAGTGTTTGCTTTCTAAATGAATTTAAATAATTTTCTTTATTTTTAGTACTCCAGATGTCATGATGTACCATTATGTATATTATGGGATCTGTAAATTATTTCTTAAATATATTAGTTACATATGTATGAATTTGTGGATATATGGTTTTAAAAAATGTATGTGTTACCATATACCAATGGTGGCGAATCTGTTACTGTATTTTTCTTTTAAGACAAAAGATATGTATGTAGAGTTGTTTTTCTAGGCCAAAACCTTAGTATTCAGGTTTAATTATAGAGCTGACACTTTCTAAGTTTTTGGTTGCAGTTGGGCACTCTGTCTAAAAGGTTCGCAATCACTGTCATATGCTTTTAAAAATAAGGGATTTTACCATTTCTGTTCATCACTAAATCCACTGTATGAATGAAAATCTCCATAGAGGGAAAATACAAAAGTGTTTGTTGAAAATGTAAATGACTGACAAAAATGAGAACAAAAAGGCTGGGACGATAGCTCAGTGGTCTAAGTGCCTGTCTGGCAAGTGCAAGGACCCTGGTTCAATCCTTGGTACCTCATGCCATGGTGGCCCCAGACCAAACTGGCCACCAAGTTCAGGCATCTTGGTGCAGTCCTAAATTCCCAGCATTAGGGAGGCTGAAACAAGAGGATCACTACAAATCTGAGCTGTATAGTGAGACCCTGTACCAAGTAAATAAATAAAAGTTTTTTTTTTTGTTTGTTTGTTTTTTAAGAAAAGGAAAATAAAGCACACACTGTCCTAATATGAGGTCTTCTAAATTTTCATGTGTGATTTAGAGTTTGTATGACATTTTTACACAAAGTAAAATCTAAAAAGTATGAATGAAATAGGTACAGCCATCTTTTACAGCCATCTTTTCCAAAGCTAAACATTATTGTCTGAAATCTAACAACCTTCTACTCTGATCTAGTCAGTTCAACCAGTTGGTAGGAGTGGGGTCTCAAGAAAACAATGAGAGAGATAAACTTTGTTCAAAATGCTATCTTACATTTCTTTCTTAAGTGTGCATACATATGTAACTTATTCCTGTTAGGCAAATATGAACTATAATAAAAATAGTGAGTTTCTAAATTAAAAAGTTATTATAGTGGTACAAGGGCAAACAGAAATGAAAACAATACCCAGGATTTGGAGGTAAATTTATTGAATGTTGGGTGGGCACTGAGAAGGAATTGATTTTTAAAATGTCAGGTCTTTAAGGCTCAGGGAGGGAGGATTTTAAGGAGTTGCAAAGAGGAAGTGGGGGTGCAAAGGGTAAATACTTGGCTGTCTGATTGGTTCTTAAAATATTCACCATACTGACCCGCTGTTTCTAAGAGACAGAAGCATTCAGAACTACAACAGGAACTATCACCGGGGCAACTAAGAAACTGAAGTGTACTGGCTGGGCTGTTTTCTGTTACAGTAAAAGGCACTTTGCTATTGCCCCTTTGGAAATACTCCCACATGGTTCAAACACTGTTCCCGTTATTCTTGCTACTTTCTGAAGCAGTTTTGGATGTTCTCTATGAGTATCTAATGGACCTGTTATTTCTGCCTCTGTACTGAATGAGTTCTAAACATTTAACTTTAATAGTCGTTTTGACTTTGGAAGAGATCCAGAATTTGCATGGTGTAAGAATCAGTGAATCCTGAGGTAAAGAGGACACCCTGTACTATTCATACAAACCCATTTGGGGGGCATCGAGCATTAGTATTCACCATATTTTTTTTATAATGAGGTAAAGACAGTCATTTGAGAACTTTTAGAAGCCCTTTAGAAAGTAGCAAGAAGGGCCAGCAAGATAGCTCAGTGGGTTAAAGCACCTGTTTAGGCAGACACAGGGATTGGAGGTTTGATCCCTGGTCTGCCATGCCTGCCTCACCCCTGGGGAACGCTGAGACAGCGACTGAGACTGGGCATGGTAGCACACACCTGTAATCCCAGTGCTTGGGAAGCTGAAAATGGGAGGATCACTCCAAGTCTGATCTATGTAGTGAGAGCCTGCGCTAAATTACAAAAAAGAA